ACATCCTCCCAGCGTTCTACCTCTGTATATGAAAATAATAACATATTATTGAATAAATCTAATCTCCTTTGCAAAGGACTTACGCTCGAATGACCCTGTTCTGGTCGGTGTCCCAGGCCCAGTCCAAAGATGTCCCAAATACTGCACCATATTCCAATAGATCAAATACTCTTGGGTCGTTCCGGTCATCATTTCCTGCTTCAATGACGAGCACGGTCTTCGAAGGATCTTCAGTAAGGCGGCCGGCGATAGTGAGGCCTGCGAGACCACCTCCAACAATGACATAGTCAAAGGTTTGATTGTCAGCAGTATTCGGATCCGAAGTAACACCAAATGCATGCTTGCCCAACGATAGCAAGGGCGATGCAAGTAGATAGACAGATAACAGCAGAGATTGAGCGAGCATGGTTGAATCCCAAAGTGTACCAGGGGATGAGGGTCATGAACGAGTTTCTGGGGCTTATATACCGCTCTGTGCCTCTGAAATCTATGTTAGACCAAGAGTAGCAGTGAGAAGAATAGCCGTCATTAACCAGATCCTCTGCGATTGGCCCTTGCCTCGGACCGTGGTTTCCCCTACTGTAGCAGATAAAGCTTGTCAGCTGGTAATGCATGTTTCGAGAACCAGAGATAAGATGAAATACAGACCAGATTGAAGCTATAGGCCTTGAGAGTCACTCGTTGAATGCCAATGACGTAATGCCTGCCTCACAGTTATCTGACATCGACTGCAAGGGATTCTAAGACCGTGAACAGCATTTGTCTAACAGATATCCTTCAGCTAACCAACTTTCGTGCTCGCATTAACAGAAGACCGGAATAGCAGCGAAGTGTGAGCTTGACCAGGGCAGCGCGGGACAACCGGATAGAAGGTAAGAAACCTATCAAGGGAATTCGAAAAAGTAAAGACTCTATTCTGTAGTGGAACGGAAGATGGCGGTTGAGGCCCACAAAGTCCGAACGATCATTGCGGGGCGTTCCTACAGAGTAATACTCGTTAAAAATGGGGTCTCCCATCAGTACAGGCGTCTAATAGCGAAGACACGGGGTTGATCGGCGAAGGACAACGTCCAAGAACTACGAAAGGAGCATGTCTTTATTTTCGGTTGCCAAGAGCTGTGGATGAGTGACATACCATATCTTTGCTCTTCTCAGAAACGTTCAAATGTGTGCTCTTGAGTGGATGTACACGGCATTCGGACACGAATTACAATAATAAGTAGGCACATAGTCACATGCAACCCAGTATTGTATGCCCCTAATTGTTTTGTCATGGAAGACAGAGAAGCGACCAGATGATATACTGATAGATTTGAGGGATTCGACAACCTCTATAGATATTTGTGACGGGTTTAGACTCTAGGGCCTCTGCTCTAGTCAACAATGATGTTGCGTGCGTGAGAAACAAGTATCATTAGTCAGTATCACATGACATGGACTTTCAGAGCTTCTACCTTCTGGTACCCGACCATTTACTTATTTTATTCGACTATCGTATTCGACTACTTACTGTATTCCACCCACTTTCGAGGCATCCAGATTTTGCACAAGGGAACACTCACGAAAATATAGAACATATCATTTTCATTACACATTTCACATCAGTGACACGCCAGATTTGATGATGTCCACTGCTTTCTCTGCAACACCATAAAGCGTCTCACTTGGATGGGCACTAATGTGGGGAGGAAGTATACTTGCATCGACGACACGTAGGTTCATCGTATCATAGACGCGAAGCTTTCCATCCACGACTCCACCCAGATCATGTCGCATCATCGCCGCAGAACCGATCATATGGAATACTGCCCCGAATTCATCGTGAATCCACGAATGCCATGCATCGTCTGCACCGCCATTTCCATCGTCAGGAACAACATCGGTTCCAGGATCGTTTCCTCCAGATGAGATGGGTTCGAATGCTGTGTGATTAAGATCCTTTCGGGTGAGTCGGGAGCCTGCTATCTGCACGGCGAGGTCTTCGACATTGAAATAGTTAAGCGTCACTTTCGGCTTTGTGAATACACTTGTATCCGTAATGACGATGTTTCCACGGCTAAATGGAAGTATGTGCCACATGCTAATGTTGACACCGCTGTTGAGTTTTGTTAGGTGACGTACGTGAATAGACGGGTAAATGTTGAGTTACCCGGAGTCTCCAATGACAAAGGAAGTTCATAAACAGGAGCTAGAGAAAATATTAACGGTTCTATGCTTTTATCTTTAAACAATGAGCTTACCATGATTATTACCAATTAGTTCAGCTTGGCTTGGATACCAAATATTGTGGTAAGCGCCTCAGCATCCAACCCATTAGCTGCCTGACTTTTGCCCATGACGGGTATTGCTCTAACAGAGATCTGGCCATTTCGTCAGCCGTCACACTTGCATTTGAGCCTGCACCTTGTTTACTGGTACACAGTTGGAGAAGCATTGAGTGCCTATTGCATTAGTAGTTCCCTGGACATTGCTGGGCAGAGTAATTTCTTTATTGTAGATAAACTACTCTGTACTGTACAATAGACCAGCAGCCCTGGTGTTTCTTTTTAGGGACCTATGCCAGGAAATATACCATACCATACCATACCTTCAGAGAAGAGCTCATGAATATTCAAGAACGCAATTGTAAACTCGGGCCCTGTGCCGTCTGCGCCGAAAGAAGGCTGTGTAGAATGCACGATATTACTTGCTGTTCGTTCCTGGAAGTTTCGGTTGGTAGATTGACCCTCACATCAATCCGAAGTGGATCGAAGACAGATGGGTCACCAATTCCGGACAGCTGAAGCAATTGAGGGGAGGCAATTGCACCTGCGGCTAGAATCACCCCCCTGACGAGCATTTACGATACACACGGCCCCTGTGTTATTCGAGTTCTTGAACTGAACACTTGTCGTCCTTACGTTCGGCGTCCGGTGCGCATCCGGAAAGAACTACCCTGGTCACTTGATGGTTGACTAGTGTGAGCCAATTCGTTCTCTCGTTTTCGACAGGATTAAGATACCATTGCGGACGATGAACGATGATCGTGGTCTTTCGGGTTTATCGAATTAGGACTATAATCTACACAATTTGAGTTACCACCATTCATGTCTTGGCATCGTGCGATTCCGATTATGTTGCGGACATCATCAATAAATGCAGGGCCGCTGAACATTCCTTGTGAGAAAGCAACTTGAACAGGTCCGAAGAAACCGTGGTAAGCATCAATATCGTTTGCACCCTTTGCGCGCTGCTCTTCGTCCGGTCCAGTGAAGCCTCTGGACTGATTCAGGACTCGAATACATCTACTGAGAAAAGAGGTGGTCTTACCTTCTTCATAAACCGGAACAGTGAATCAAAATTCCATTCCATGCCTGCATCCTCGTCACTGAGGAAGCTTCGCGAACGCGTCGTATTCATCACGAAAAAGTCGCAACAAATGTATTTAATAATAGCAAAGGTAATCTAATAAAATGATTTTATAAGCATTACATTCTAAAATAACACTTATATTTTACTTATAATGTAATTATAATGATTGTATATAAATGTAAGAAATATACAAAGTTTCTATTAAACTACAAACATGTTTTAGAGCAAGTAAGCTTACTAATAGTATTATTACAACATTACATGTGAGGTACAAGTGCTCAACTCCTATTATAATATGCTAAAATTATATTATAAGTTATCTGTAACAATAGTTGATTAATTATAACAGTCATAAAAGTAATATGTTGTGCTTGTAAGTTAATTACAATACTTTTAGTAAGATAATATACAATTATATATATTAATAATGTTAACAATCACTCTGTCAGACTTATAATATAATTTGTTTTTACCTTTAAACAATATATCGAAGTGATTACATAATCGAGTACCAAAGATCGAGAGCATATAATGACGCACTGCTCTCGTCAC